GATTTGCTACTGGCTGCCTCTCTCCTGCGCTTGCTGCATGGGCTGAACCCTGACCAGCTCCCCTAGCCAGGCCTGGAATGGTCGGGAGGGGACCGAGGAGGGTCGTGCCCAAGTGACACGGCAGGTTGCTTGGTACTGGCAGCTGGCTTCGAAGGCTGCCCTGACATGACGCCCAGTTCCACAGCAAAAAGCCCCTTCTCCACCCTCGCTGCTGGCTTGGCAGCTCTGGAGACTGACATCAGCCAGCCTGGGAAGGCAGGCAGTCCCCATGTGCCACACGTGGCAGTGCCAGGTGGGCCCAGATGTTCCAGGCTCCCCTGCAGCTCCAGGGTAACTCCATGGGTGCAGTGAATGATTCCTGCCCAAAGGGCTGATCAGGTCCCGAGGGGTCCAGCTCCAGGAGCTAGTTTACAAAGCTGCAGTGCGTTTATCTTTGGGTGTCCAGCGAAGGGGGAGAGGGGCAGGGAAGCTGCTGGTGACAGTGAGTGCGGCTAATCTTGGAGCCAGCAGATTCAAGACTGTTTAAGGCGATAAAGTGAAAAGGAACAAACTGAGGCAGGGCTTGGCCCCATTCTCTCCCCTCAGGAGCCTGGGACAGGATCAGGGAAATCTCCTCCCCACCAAGGGGAGAAACTCAAAGGAAAGAGAGAGCAGCAAGGCAACACCTTCCATTCCACCAGCCTGCCAGCATTTCACCCAGACGAACAACGCCCTGGCCATGGACACCAGTGAATACAGTAAAACGCCAATTGTCCAGCATCCAGGGGTCCAGCACTCCCGATAGTCCGGCACCAACTGGAACTCGGAAGCGCACCAGCCAGCCAGACAATTGGAGCTGCTCTGCCCCCGGCTTCCCCAAGTCAGCTGCTGCTGAAACTGACCAGCGGTGGACTTGGGGAAGCCGTGGGGCAGAGCAGCTGGGGTGCTGACGGGTTGGTCCCGCAGCGCCGCCCTCACCCACGCTGCGCAGTTCCCTGCCGACCCCACCCCCACCCCAGACCCCTCATAGCCCCCCTTCCGGTACTCCGGCATATCTGATAATCCGGCACCCCCTGGGTCCTAAAGGTGCTGGATTATCGGAAGTTTATTGTAATTAAACAAATGCAGCCAAGCGTCTGGCCGTGGAGCTCGGAGCTGGGCTGAGAGCACCAGGTACTGTCCACAAACAGGCCCCATTGCAGAGTGAAATTCACTTGGCCTGTGATCACTCCCCTTGAGTTTGCTTTCCTTGAACTGGGTTAGGGTGTGGGTGGGGCTTGCCCGATCCCCTAAGCATGTCCCGAGCAAGGGGCAGGAAACCTGTTGGATGCACAGGGTAAGTGGCAGCGCTGATCTGTACATCAAGGTGCTTAAATCCCCATTTTACCCACGAGACGGAGAGAGGGCCCTGGGGATAGAGACACTCTCCTTTCTGGTGTTAATAGGAACCGTGTGTCTAAATCCCTTGAGCGGCTTTGGAAAAAGTCTGAGCTAATTGCCTTGCTCCAGATCACACAAGGCAAAGCTGAAGCCAGAGCTCCCGGGTAATTTGCTCTAAGCCAGGGCTACTCAATTTTGGAAGCCCCCAGGGCCCAGAGCCACAATGATACTCACAGCCCTATTATCACCCCTAATGTCATTACCTCACAGACACTAACCTTCCCCCCTCACCCCCACTCTGATCTAAAATTTGATTTGTCAATTTCACATGCGTTAATTTTTTTGATTGTAACACTTTGGTATATATGGTTGTGCCGATTTTCTTCCACATATTGATCTGAGGAAGTGGGTCTGGCCCACGAAAGCTCATCACATAATAAACCATCTTGTTAGTCTGTAAAGTGCTACATAGTCCTGTTTTTTGTTTCAGCTAGACCAGACTAACACGACTGCATCTCTATCACTATTCCACATGCCGAGGGCCACAACTTAAGAGTGGCTGCATATACATGCAAATATATGCAAATAGCTTCTTTCACACTGATGGGCATGAATACAAAATTTAAGGCGAGACTACACAACATACAGGCCCCATTTAAGTCAGTTCTGCTGATATTACTAAAATGCAATATTCACCCGATTCCCACCCATATGACAGCACTTGTAATGAGCGACCGTCCAGGAATTTACCTACTAAAACGCGTATCAACTAGACCACCATGATATTAATGACTTTTTTGTTTTGGCTTCACAACCATCCAGGAATTAACGACGGAAACACACATCAACCCAAACCGCAGTGTGAACCCAAACCGCACCGCGGGTGCAAGCAGACGGGCCATGTGTTGAGTAGCCCTGCCCTAAGCCCTCCTTTCCCCTCCCCCCAGGAAGCATTCTCCACAGCCAGGCCCTGTGACTAGTGGCTCCTCAGTCCTCTGACTCACGCTCAGATTTCCAGACACCGGCGTGGGGCTGACACTGCCACAAATATTTGCTCAGTCATGTTCTGGGAGAACTAGTCCCCAAGGAAGCAGCAACATGCAGTTACACTTTCTCATTTCACCCCGCGACGGTGTCTCACCACCTCCCGTAGCGAGACACAGCCGGGGCTGCGTTCTGGGTGGGGGTGACCATGCACATGTGGCTTGAGAGACGGTGACACCCCAGGGGTGGGTTTCCTGTATAATGCAAGCTCATGATCCCCAGGGAGACAGCTTGTCTCTATAGATCTGGTCCAAAACACATGCGCCACAATAATTAAAGCCTCTGTGGAAGATTCCTGGCAGCATGCCCACCCACAGGGGCCAGAGCTGGGGCGCTCTGCCCACCAGTCAGCGGTTGTGTCTGTGTTAAAAGCATTTCCGGAAAATCATGCCAGTCTAGACGTAGCCCATGGGTGAAATCCTGGCCCCATGGATGCCTACAGGAATTTTGCCATGCACTTCACTCGGGCTAGGATTTAACCCTGGAGTCTTTGCTACAAGGTGTGGCCTTGTTTGCACAGGAACATAAGAACGGCCAAACTGGCCCAGTATCCTGTCTGCTGACAGTTGCCAATACAGATGCCCCAGAGGGAGGGAACACAATAGATAATCCTCACATGATCCCTCTCCTGTCATCCATTTCCAGACAAACAGAGGCTAGGGACACCATTCCTACCCCTCCTGGCTAATAGCCAGGAACTTATCTAGCTCTTTTTGAACCCTGTTAAAGTCCTAGTCTTCACAATATCCTCTGGCAAGGAGTTCCTCAGGTTGACTCTGCGCTGAGTGAAGAAAAACTTCCTTTTGTTTGTTTTAAACCTGCTGCCTATTAATTTAATTTGGTGACCTCTAGTTCTTATGTTACAGGAACAAATAAATAACTTTTTCTTATTTACTTTTTCCACACCAGTCATGGTTTTACAGATCTCCCGCATATCCTCTCATGCAAATCCCCATAGTCTGCTCTTCTTTAAGTTGAAAGTTTATAGAATTTTGCTGATGTAGCTACACTGGTAAAATCCAACTCATAAATCTGATCATCTGGAGAAGTGGGCTGTGCCCACGAAAGCTCATGATCCCATCTACATGTTTCGTTAGTCTATAAAGTTCTCTCAGATCATTTGTTGTTTTTCTCAGTATTAAAGACCTTGTGGCGGCTCAGGGAGCTGGCTGAAGTGATGCCGTACCTGCCCAATTATACTAGCATCACTGCCTCTACGGGAGGCTGTTACCAGTTGGCTCCAAGGGTAAAAGCTTTTTCAGGAAGGCCCAGGTTGTACGTTCCAGATGTCTGCCAGCACAGCTGTGTGGGACCAGGGGGCGGAGCAGTGCAATCCCCACCCCACAGAGCAGTGCTGGCAGAAGCCCCTTGATTCACTGCAGTTAATGCTGGCAAAACAGAGCTAATGCTGCCCGTGCTGCTTGCTTTGCTCAGGGCAGTATTTTCAGCATAGCTGTGCCCACCTAGGGGCCCTTTGCCAGGACAGCAGACCTGGATTCCAGGACCGATACAGAGCTCCTAGTGCACTTGAGGGCTTGCAAAGACTGTGAGCTTTCAGGGGTAGGAAGCAGGCCACTCTGGGGAGCTGTACAGCACCGTGCACAACCGGGCATCAAGCTCAGTTAGCATCTTCCCTCCTACAATCAAAGCCTGAATATCTGAGCACGTTCCCAGCAAGGCCTGGGGCATGTGTCCCAGCCCAGTTGGAGTGACTGGGTGTCCTGCGCGACGTCTATTCATGTCTGTTGCTGGGGCCGAGGGATGCTACTGCGAGAACCACATGCAGACAAAGGCAGAACTAGACGGAAGAACCCACCACTGTGGACGTGTCAGTAATCAGCTGTGCCGTGCTGCAGATGGGGGAGGGGACTCTCCCTTGGTCAACTGCCTCTGCACAGCAGCAGGCTTGGTGACCCTGGTGAGGGAGAGCTGATCTCTCCAAGCCTGGCTCAAACAGCGGCCCCACCCTGCTTCGGCCCCGCCCCGTGCAGAGGGATTCTGGGAAGCAGCTGGCGAGCCCTGCTCTCTGGCGCCCATTATCAGTTCCAAACAGACTCCCTTCCTGGCAGAAAAGGTTCAGAGACTAACAGGGCTCCACATCTGGGGCCCCCAAGCAGCCACTGTCAGAGCAGAGCGTAACCCGTCACCAGGGGGAAGTCTCAGCTGCAGCTAGTCGACTAGATGGATCTATGGCCCCTGCCAGATCCCTCGGGAAGTTCAGCTTTGGTTTTCTCAGAGAGGTTTTGCTTTGCTTCTCAGGAAAATGAGGCTCTCTGAGCACCTGCCAGGCACTGCCGAAGCTCGTGGAGTTGGTATCTCCTCAAAGCTCCTGCTCCTGGAGTCAGGTGATTGAGACTCACCACTGGGGCTCAACCCCCGGCTGCTCCCTCTCCCATGCGCCTCTTACGCACTGTCGTGGCCTTCCAGCTCTGGGAGGGAGGGGGAAGAGCAGGATGGAGTGCGAATCAGGTGATTTGCATGCTCCAAAAGTGCTGAGAGGGAGGGGACAGGAGCAGGAAGTGCAGGCCTCCAGTGCC